GAAATAGGTCACAGCTGCCCAAGTGCAGTGGGACTAAAGCCAGCAACTATCACTAAATAAGAGTAAAGGAAGACTTTTTAAAGCATTTTGTATTAATAAAGTTGGTCCTCTTCTACAAATGCAGGGGCCAATCCTTACTCAAGTCAGCAACCCTATTAAACATTTTCTTGTGAAGTAAGAGCTTCAGCATCATGGCCACAGTGGAATATGATATTTATTCAATTATTTTAAAAAAAGCATTGCCTTTTCTATAGAAACAAGTGACTTGAATAAAAACAGATGTTGAAACACTACTACAAAGCAACCTTCAAGTAAACTTTAATGCCAAATCAAATCTCTAACGTTACATTTTCCCACAGCTCAGAGAAGGCCAGTTTTGTGGTCAAATGCTGCCTGTGATCTTATTTTATACTTTAAGCATGCATTTGATTATAAGGAAAACTTAAAAACAAACAAACAAACACAACTCTAATTGTGGTGTCCAGGAGCACTTGCATCTGAAATGTGAAACAGGAGAGCATCTTTTTCAGTAGCTCTGAGAGAATTTCAAATTTTGACTGCAATCTGCCCTAAAGCATGTTGAGAAGAAAAAGTAATTTTTCTAAACCATTACCACATCAGATGCAACCTTCCTATCCACACCTACTCAGGCCCATTGTAATCTCTGCCCTGTTTTTTTCCTTGCATCCTTTCTTGCTCAACACACTTCCTTCTAGTTCCCTTTCTCTCCCTCATGCCACCTTTCATGCTCCCTCTGCTTAGAATGCTTTGGGTGAGATGCTGACCTGGTTGAAGTCTTGGTATCCACTTCCTTCACTTCTCCAGGATCTCTCTTCAAAGGCACTTCAAACAGCTTCTCTTTCCTTCTCTTCAGTAGTAACTGTTACACAGTTCCTGTTATGAACTGTTGTCCTATGTCTTGATTTGTATTTGTCTTATGCAGATTGTAAAGTATTCAGGATATAACATATATTGATAGTTGTGTGAACTAATGCCTGTGAAAATTATGCTGCATAAATATTTTATTATCCATTTGTGTATTCAAACCATCCATTTCTAGACTGGAAGATGGATGCCTGTTCAGCGTAGCTCTTCTTTATTGCATTAATATAAGCTAAATTTTCACTATCCTTGGTCAATACATGTTGAGGGTATTACACAGTTTTTCAGTTCTCTCTTCTTACTTATAGTATCCTGGTTGAATTTTTCAGGGGCTGTTATCCTTGACACAACATGATTAGTCAGACATGTTGCCACTGAACCACTGTTAGTTGATATTTTGGACTTCTGACTCAACTGTTTTGTTATCAGAGAACACAAATAGCAAAGTTGTTCTTGAACAATAAAAGGTGTACATAGTCTCAGTTTTCAGTGGAAACAAGTCTGTTCATATTCCTGCTGAGAATTGACATCTGTTTCAGTTTGAACTGAAATACTGTCTGAAAAGTAATGTTTCAAGAGATGATTTTTAATGCCTCTGGTTATTATTCTTGTTTCGGACCAGAGGAAGACTGATGGTGTCTCTGTAATATGTTTGCTTTCTTTATTCACCATTGCCAATCTTAATATATTAACTAGTCTCTTTAAGAAACTAATGTACTGGCAATGGACAACATTTTTCAAGTAACATGGTATGCAATTGTGTATATAAACAGCCTTATTTTCTCTGTGAACAGAAAAGATTTTTATGCTTACAGTATTTATTTTGAAAGACTAGAAGAACTGAGCTCATTTCTGCTGTGCTGGAGGGCTTAGCAGCTTACTATATAAGAGGATTCTACATGCCAGTGTATGCTGCAGAGAAGACCTTACTAGTGGTTTTCATAGTGCAATGTGTATTTGAAGCATTGGGAACATGGCCAATTGATTTGAGTGCAGCCACATCCTTAAAAGGATAGAATAAACCAAAATAAGACCCAACCACAAAGTGATCTCTTGCTGTTTTCTGCCATATCCAGCACTTTATAGATGTTCTAAGCCTTTCCTTAGATGGGACTTAAGTCTCCTGCTGGGACTTAAAGGCAGAGGTTCCTGGCTAGAAGGTCTCAATTGTCATCTTTGGGATCAGGAAGGAATTTTCCCCCATAGTCAGAGTGATATGGACTGTGGAAGTTCTTGCCTTCCACTATAGTGGGGGGGTGTGGCCTAGGGATTTAAAAGGTTATAAATGTATTTAAACCATTAATGCATTACAGTTAACATTTAAAACAGACTACATTGTGTGAATTATCTCATGGTTTACCAGTACTACTTTTCCAGACTACCCTTCCCTGAGGCAGCCCAGCCTGCCTTTGCACACTGCCTGCCTCTTCCACCAGCAGTTTTGCCTGCATAAATAAAAGCGCTGGGGCTGGGGGAGCCGAGCCAAGCGAGCCTTCTCCCCAGAGGAAGAGAGGCGAGGAAGGGGAGGTAGGACAGGATGCAGTGGCCGGCACCAGGAGCGCCTCTTGCCTCTTGCATGTGTCTTGCCCTGTGGCAAGCAGATCTTGTACTGGCTACTCCATAGATATGTGTTATTGGTTAACCAAAATCGTGATTTGGAGTGTTAAAAAAATTCACAGGTATCATCAGGTATTAGCTGATGGGTCGTGACATGAACCCTTCTGCTATGGCCCCCAGCCTAAGCAGCATATATCTGTTGGCTGGCATTGCTCCGCCTGATATCAGAAGAGCAGTGGCCAGCAGTATAGAATGATCGAGACAACCTAAAGATATGAGATGCTCATTGTATAACCATCCCACAGGACACAAATGTCTGAAGTCACAGAGGAGCTTCCTCACCAGCACCCAACATCTCAATGTCACACCCAAGGCGATGCAACTACAGATGTGGAATGAGAGGCTGAAGAAAATACCTGACAGTGAAAAAATGTACATTCCAGCAGCTAAGTCCTGACCACCAGGGGCTGACAAATCATGACAAAGGTGGCGATGGCATTGTCTCAACTGCATGTGTACCAGAGTCAGACATTCCAAGGAATTAATGAAGAAATGGGACTATACCATCAGTTCAGCCACCGGTGACTATGGCACAAAACCTCAGACTATGCAACACCTGCTTCAGTGCTTGCTGCTCAAAGGCACATGTACAATGAATGATCTCACAAAGTACAACAAATGAGTACAAGCATGCGTAACAAAATGGTCAAATGTGAGGTAGAGACATGAGAAGAAGTTTGGTTAAATGGTTAACCATTATAATATATATAATTAGAAGAGTTTAAATGGCTAATTTTAAAAATTATATTTACATCCCTAGCGTGGCCTTCTACCTGAGATCTCTTGCGCATATGTTAACACCCTTTTATAAAAGCAGTATGTTGGCCGCTGTGGTTCTCCTGCCTTACCTGTGGCAAGCTAGGGTGTTATATCTTGTATTGTGTCAGGGTTGGCAGTAGTTGAGTAAGAGTTTAGGTTATGGATTTATATAGGATGGTTTGGATAGGGATGATCCTTCTTCAAGCAGGGGGCTGGATTAGATGACCTCTGATGGTCCCTTTTAGCCCTACTTCTCTATGATTCATTTGCTTTTGGCCCTGTAAATGTTGAAGCCTCACTCCATCATCATCATCATCATTCTCTTCCTCACTGCTTATGAGCCTGTTCATAACCTGGCACTTTATTAGGTTTATTAGTTGTAAGCCTTGTATAAATTTAAAGCAAAAAGATGGGTCCCTAGTTAGAGAGCTTTTTATCTAAGTTAAAGAACAGGGACAAGATATGGGTACCCAGAAATGGGCTGCACAAGTACAAGAAAGCAGTTTTGGTCCACACAATAGGCATGATCTCAACACATCTACACTATGTCAGTTTTTTTGTTTTTTTGAGAGTAACAAAAGGAGACTGTGGAGAAGAGACTTGAAGGAAGATATTTGTTTGCTTGTTTGATTCATATCTCATCTTCCACAAAAAAGGTCAGGGCATCTTACAATAAAAACAAGACAAACTATAAAAGCCAGATAAAATATTAAAATGAAATAGTAGTAAAACAACTCCACAAACAGTGCTGCAAACAATATCCCCCAAATTAACCCTGTCTGCTAAAACGTTCCCAAATGAAAAGGTCTTCCAAAGCTTCCAGATGTCCAGGCTGGGGCTCTGACTGGTCACAAGGGAGAGCTCTGTGAGATGTTTACTGGGAATTGCTCCCAAGTGTGAAGGTTCAGCATGGAAGAAGCGCAAAGTCATGTGTTATAAAAAATTAACAGATGAGCAGTTGGCTTGACTGGAGGTGATGCTTGACATATTGAAAGTGAAAGATGATAGATAGTGTGAGAACAGGCCATGGAGGGTCCTGACAGTGAATTTAAGTAGCATAAAGGAGAAGGCAGAGCAAGTAGGAGGCGGCAAAATAGAGAGAAAACACTATTAAAACTTTCGGCAAGCACAACATAATTTTTTTTTCAGGATGATATTTACACTTGTTCTGTTCTTTTATGAACAGATACTTAGCAGTTCAGATAAAGAAAATTAAGAAGTTAGGTTGACTAGAAGTTAGCCAAGGTGCCTATGGTATAGAAAATGTAGACTGAGATTCTGTTTTCTCTACCTCATCCCAAAAGGAGACAACATTCAATGGACCTGAAAAAATAGCAAATTCTAATTGATAAAAGAAAATATTTTTTAACTCATGAAGCAATAGAGAGTATGGGTACTAGATTAAATTAGCCAAATGTCTGATGCAAGATGACAATTCATAGGGAAAATTGAGACAGGCTAGTCTGATTACTGTTTAACGTCCCAGTGAGTTTGTTAAATTTTCTGTATTGTGTCACTACGTTGAGTACTGTCCATACAATTTGATTCCCCTTTTTGTGTATCATCAATAATTACCTTGTTCAATTTCCATTATTTTAGGTTCTATGAAAATAGTTAACTGACAAATGGCAATGCTTAACTTTGTGCAGTTGTGAAAAATAATGGAAAGATTTGCAAATGACTCTGGGTGTTTGGGGATGAGAATTTGTACATGAAATGCATGGTCTTTTTCACTGTTCCAGGTATTCCAGGACCTTGGCACATCGGTACTCTCTGGGGCCTTTAAGGGATATAACATCTGCCTCTTTGCATATGGACAGACGGGTTCAGGAAAGACATACACAATGATGGGAACTCCAGTGAGTTACAGCATCCAGTCCATTCTCTTGCTCTTTTTCAGAAAAGAAAATCTGTTTAGTAAAATTTTAAATTCGTGGTTAATGCCCCAGTTAAACAAATTATTTGCCATGTTTTACTTAGGTGTATCCTTGCATAAAGTTAAGTACTTGCTTAAGTCCATACCTGAATGATATAACAACAGCTACAATTCTAAGTATGTGGTTTAATAAAAATGTTTCTTCTGGGTGATCTTAGTCCTTTTATTTTATAGACATGTGGTTTATCTGTTTTGCTGAAAATATTCTGTACCCTGAACTTCTAGTTATTTGTAGCAACTACCTTGTGACACCACAAAACAATGTTATCTCTCCTGCTTAGACAGTCAAACCCATGTTGAAGGTAAATTATTTTCACAAAAGAAAAAAAGTATATAATTCTTTAGGCCATCTTTCAGCTTTAAATTAGTAGTCCAGCCATGGGAACATGACACTCAGTGGAGGCTGGCAAACCTACTTGAGACCCTGAGAAAGTTAGATGATTAACCTGAGCCTCCATGCGATTGTGGCTGGATTGCTGCCAAATATCTGTGCTAGCTCTCACTTGTTTACACCATGATGGTCAAACTCCAGCCCGTAGGCCACAGTTATTGAGCCACATTGTCTGGAGTGTGGGGATCCCCATGAGTCTGGATGTTTGGTGGCAGGGGAGTAGTAACATCAGTTGTAGCTCCTCATGTGCACTAAGTTATCAAGCCACGGTGGGGTCAGCACAATCTGGTAGGTACATGGCTGCATGTGGCATTCAAGGTTGGGTCAGTGCATGGCTGGACCCAGTGTGTGGGTCTTTTTGGGATCTGGCATGAAGAATCAGGCTGGTGTGCAGGTGGATCTGGTGTGCAGGGTTGGGCTAGTGTGTGGCCAGATCCAGTACACAGCTGGATCCTGTGTGTGGGATTGCTCCTGTGTGCTGACCCCATGCATGGGATCTGGTTTATAGACTAGCCCCACCCAACTCATCCAGCCTCAGGGTTGGAGGGTTGAGAACCACTGGTCTATGCTCCACTGCAGTCACAATGATAATTGTAGTGTAGACATGCCTTAAGTCTTTACCTCAGCCATGGGCTATGACAAGTGGAGGTATTTCAGCTTTACAAGATGATATCCAAAGTGGGTAAGACTGGTATCAAAGTACTCACAGATACAGCCCCTATTCTATCTGTAGAACATTTCTTCCCTTCAGCAGATTCCTTTGAGAGGTGGTGTGGCTGGCAGCGCTGTAAACTGTCACTTACCCAGCACTGAGAATGTTCCAAGGTGGCGAGCTGTTTGACCTTCTCCATGATCACTGCTTTTGTATTGCTCCATTCCCTGTAGTTTTTCCTACACTTATTTAAATGACCCTTTACAGGAAAACCTGGGACTGCAATCATAACATATAATTTTTTTGTTTTGTTTTCCTAAAAGGCATCCATTGGGCTGACACCTCGTATATGTGAGGTATTTAGTTCTTTTACTAACTTGCATTTGTTTAATCTGTTTTTTAAATGGGTGGGGAGGGGGGTTTCTCATTTTAAAAGATCTTTTGGTTCTTGCAGGGCCTTTTTTCAAGAGAGGATGATTATTCAGAACAGCCAGCATCTTGCAGAGTAGAAGTCAGGTAGGAGAGTCACTGATTTTAGCCATATGTGCTAAAATGTTTTCTAAAGTTTGTTTCCATAGGCCAACATATTTGATCCTTTTTTCTCTGGAATGTCAGCCATTTGGGGTGGAAAATCAAATTGGCAGATATGTTCCATCTCACAAGGTTGTTCTATATTCAGATCCACTGCATGCAGATGGGCCACAGCTTGATCTGGTGCTCAGAGTGCTCCATAGCTAGATCCAGTGTGTGAGGTCAGACTGGTACACAGGGTTGCTTGGTGGCCACATCTGGCATGGAGGGCTGGGTCAGCACATGTGGTTGTTGGGCACTTAGATCTGGTATGTGGGGGCCAAGCTGGTGCATCAAATCATATCTACAGGCTGACCCTATGCAGGATCTGGCCTGCGGACCAGCCTCGTGTCACTCATCTGACCTACGGGGCTAGAAGGTTAAGCACCACTGCTTTAGCGTGTCGACAGTCTTTATAAACAGCTAGCAGCTGTGGGTAATTTTTTCTCCTGCTTCTTGGCAATTGATGGCTTCTCAGCTCCTTTTTAAGTGTCTATATGACATGTAAGAAAACAAGATGAGAGAGGCAATGAAGAGGAATCCTTTAGTTTTTTTTTAACAGGAAATGTCCCTGCCAGGGCTGCAAGCTGCAACTGCAGATTTTCATTGTCCAAAGAACTATTAGTGATTTTTTTTTAAATAGCAGGTGGCAGAAAGATGACATATTCTTCCTCCTCTTTTTCTTCAGTTTCCTTGAAATCTATAATGAGCGTGTCCGAGATCTGTTAAAGCAGCCTGACCACAAGAAACCTTATACGCTTCGTGTCCGAGAGCACCCTGAGACAGGTCCATATGTGCAAGGTGAGACAGAATTTCAGTTTGGATTACAAATTAATGCACACATATCCATTATATTTGTTCAGTTGCATTTCCAGCACGATCTTTGTCATTCCCATTGTTTTCCCGGTCTTAAGAGGCTAATATGAAACAGTTTGAGGGATTCAAAATGCTCCCAGCAAGATATATGAAATCCAATAATTCTTAACAGAAAATACGAAATTCTATCAGAAGGACTTGCTTTATGTGTGTAATTTGAATGCATTTAATAAAACATAGAATAAAATATTTCCTGTACTGGATCAAGCCACTGATTTTTTGAGCCTGATAATCTGCTTCCCACAGCAGCTGCAAATCAATGTTTCCTTAGAAGATAAAATAATAATGGTCTTGACTCATGCTAGGTAGATAGAGATTTCTTTGCAACACACTGAAAGAAATAGGAAGAATGCCTTTCTTGAAACTGACATGGCTGTTTAGTTGACTTCTATTTGTAAAATCTGAGAAGGTTCAGATTTGCATGTTGATTACAGACATTTTGGTCTGCTTACTTTAATTTACCTTTCAGAAATCTACTCTGATCAGTAAGGTCATGGACATCATTTACACTTTTCATTTTGTGACCAGCCTGATCTGTACCTGGTATAGGTCTAGGCCAGAGGAGCAGAGGTGCATTAGGTGTCATCAAACAAAAGATCCTGCCATATTAAATCATACCTGCAACAACAACCAAATGTGTACGGGACTTGGCTTTTAGATCATAAGAGGAGGAGGTTAAATCATAGGAAATAGTAATAAAGTTAAGGTTTGTATCAGATTCCTAATTTCATATTATTAGCCCTTGACTCTTTTTTGAACTACAATTCTCTAATTTCCTGATTTTCAGATGCATGATTTCATTTCAGTAGAACGTGAACATTAAACTTAGAACTTTGCAGTTTCCAGACTTAGATCTACTGTATTTTCTGCACATCTAACCCACACCTCCCCCCAAAACCAGCTGGTGGAAATAGGGGTGTACATTATATGTAAAATACATGTCCCCATGGGTCTGGAAATTTGGTGTCATGGGAGCAGTGGCAGTGTTAATTGCCATAGTTCTGGGATCCATGATAATTAATACTCACTGTTTCCCCAGCACCAAATTTCTGGATCTGAGGGAGTCTCCCAGCCAGATGACCTGGCCTCATATACTGGATCATGCTGGCATGTGAGGTTGGTCCATAGCTGGAATTGGTGTGCTTGATCAGACTGGACGTCAGGTCAGACCTGATGCAGCATGTTGGACCTGGCGCACAATCCTGGACCTAGCATGCTAGGTTTGTCCATGGGCCCCATCCAGCTCACAGGACTGGCTGTAGGCTCAGCTCCCTAGCTGCTGCTTCTTAGTTAATACAAGAAAGATTTTTTGCCCTTCATGCTGCCTTTCAAAAACAGGGTGCATATTATATAAGGGAGATGTGATGTATGCAAGAAAAACATGATATTTAAAAAAAAATCTACTGGAATTTTGTCTTGCATTCTTTTTTTTTTTAATTATCCTTTTACAGTCCTCATCTTTTTACTTACAATCTTTTCCCCTCTGAATTCTTCCTGCCATTTGTTGTCTTTACTTCCCTTTTGTCTCTGCCTGAGCTTCAGAAGCATTACATAAATACCAATTGCTGCTGTGTGATTTTGTTGATAGTATGCTATGCTGAGTTTGTCCTGTACAGAGCCAAAGAATCTACTTGGTGACTGACAGAAAATAAAATAATTCCTACAGAATCAATATGCTACTAGCAGTAGCAGTAACCAAGTGATTTTTAAGGCTGTATAAAGCATCTTACTGGTGCGGAATAGGGAAAGAGACCTTTCCAGAGTAATGCAGACTTTAAAAATGGGTCTTATTTGTTTGGAAAGTAAATATGCCCATTTCCTTTTTAATGTGTTACTAACCACTATGTCTCCACAGTGGGCAAAACTCCAAATTGCCTTTGGAATTACTGATGCTGCCAACTCTTGGCTGATCACCAAGTGGTTTGTAATATACTCGACACCTGGGAAGTACTCCTTTTAATGTGTGAAATGCACATAAGAGAAGTGTATTCCTTCTGTCATTAGATCAAATACTAATTTGCTCTGGCTTTAAATGTAGGCCTTTGTCTCCATTGATTTTGTAAATTTCTTTTTTCTCCAAGCTGTCCTTTCATCTGACTGCTTATCATTATCATGCCACTTAATTTTATGCATGATTTTTTTAAGCAGGTGGGAAATGAAAATGGAAAATCAAGCTAAATGCGTTGTCTTTTTTAAATAGTTGGATACATTGAAACCCATTAATAATGTTTGTAGTCAATTATATTAGCTGTACAAGCTAATATAATAGTTTATAACACTTTTCCTCCAAGAATCTCAGGATACATTACAAACATTAAGTAAGTCTCACAAGTTCAGTGCAAAACAGATATGTTGTTCACAATTTAAGGGTAATTAAACTGAAGCAAAGAGGTGCTCAATGACTTGCCTATGGTCTCACAGCAAGGCAGTGATGGAGCAAAAAACATAATCCTGGAATCCTGATTCCTGCTTCTCCCACTAACCACTATTTACATATCAGTTACTGATAATGATCATTTTTTATGTATCAGAACATGAACTAGTCACCTTGGAGCCAGAGAGGAGATTTCAGACATGCCTTCCCACACACATTTGGCTAGGTGACGTTCTGGTCATGCTTTTCTATAGAATCAGCACCTGGAGTGTAAATAAAAAAGAACTGATGGGCTGATCCTTTAAAAAAATGAAAACATGCATGTTTGGTCTTCATCATGGTTCTTTGTCTCCTGCTGCTGCTTTTCTGGAATCCTTACTATAACTCTTGCCCAGACCCTGGTCACTGCAGAACTCTTAGCAAATACTACTTACTTCCTCAAGATCATTTCCCACACTGAAATACAGCTTGCTGCTGCTTTTCCTGCCAGCAGGCTTCCCTCAAACCTGCATATCTAAAGTTCTTCGTTTCACTGATTCCAGAGTTTCCTTGATCTGGGTGAAAACAAGTCATAGTTGGGACCTAAGTCTCTTAATGTGTCACTGTAGTAGGGAAAACTCCTGTTGTTCCAGAGGTAGTCTTTCATAAAATAAATCTATTTTTATTTTCTAGTTCTGATATTGTATAGTTATTGTTATCCTTTTAAATAGGAATTTGATAACCAGATGTTTCCTACAGTATTGCTTGTAACAAGGACTGTGGAGACATGGTTGTGTGCTTTCCCTTAAACCGCCCCCTTCCCTGATTTCTTTTTTTTCTTTTTCATTTTGTAGTATGAGAACAGTATAATAAAAACACATTATGCCAGTCAGGGAGTGCCTTTTTTTAGGTTACATCAGGAAATTCCATGGAGGCAGCCCTCCCTTCCCCTGCTGTTCATATCATCGTGGGCCTATATGGGGGAGTGGTATGTGTTTATCCCTGTAAGGAAATTTCAACTCTTTATAGTTATAAACATAAGTCAAAATACTAGAAATAATTGGCTTCATGCATGGAAGATGAAGTAACTTCTCTGTTGAAGGGTGCCATGTGGTAACATTTCAGTATTGCTGTGGGACTGCATGAATAGAATTGATTTGCAACTGATGAGTCAGTGTCCTGGGGTTTGTAGTCAGATGACTTAAATGCATGGTACTGTGTGTGTGTGCTTAAAACTATAATTGTTTATGTCATGGGAGCCAGTGCTTCACATATTGTTTTTATTTGGTTTTTGGAGAAAGACTGATAAAGAGGAGCTCTGATGCCTGCAAAAGGGTGCTCATTAGCTAGCTCACATGGCAGGTGAGCATGGGTACGACAGTTCACACATTTCGTGCACTGCTGATCAGTATAGGTCAGGGATTTCAAACTTACTTGGCTTTGTGGGCTGGATGAGTAGCCTGCAGCCGGTCTGCAGGCCAGATCAAACCAACAAACTGGCCCCACATTTCAGATCCAGCACGTGTCCTGGAGTGGCCAGAGTGGGCACCACCTGTGGCACAGTCCTGCTTCTGCCACTCTGGGGCTGTGTTGCATGCAGCAGCCGCTCTGCTGCTGTGGGATGTGAGCTGGGACCAGTGCCACTTGTCAGGCATGCCCTGCCTGCGGCCAGTGGGTCAACTCAGAACCACAGGCAGCACTGGAGGCTGGACCATTTGACAACCCCAGTAAAGGGGCTTGATTTTAGGGAAATTCTAACTCGGATGTGTTCTGTAATATACCATGATGGCATGTTGCTGAAGTCAGTAATTGATGATTTCAGCACTCACATGACCTTGCCTGTGGAAGTTTGTTTGTGGAATCTGCATGGGATCGTGCTCAATGAATCCTGTAGCCAATAGCATCAGTGTCTAAACTGTAGCCCTGGTTGTTAGGAGAGCAGTATATTTTTCACTCCTTTATTAGGCAGTTTGCTGCATGGAACAAATGAGCATTGTTAAACTGATGAGAGCAAGTCAAAGATCAGTGTTCCATTATGTCCACAGTGTTCCACAGTGTATTGCAGCATACCAAGACTTGTCTCTGTATTTGCATTATACTTACTGTGTGCAAGGACTTAGAGGTTATGGGGTAACAGAAAACTTGTAGGGGTAACGAGGGGCTCCCTTTTATCCTATTATTTTGTCACTGACATAGTTTACTTCAGTAGTCTCTAACACACTGAAATCAGTACCTGGATGAAAAATAGACAGGGAAGAAAACTAGAGAGACTCACCCTTCTAAGGATGCTTAATTACTCTCATATTAGAGGTAATGCATTTCCATTTGCAGTCAGGAAATTCCAGCTCCCTGCACTAAGTATTTTGAATAATTTCCAGCCCATCTTTTTTCAATGTAAAGCCTGCAAGATTCTACCCCTTAAAATGCTGAAAGCATTTCAGTACTTCAGATTGGAATGGTTTCAAAATTCTCTCTTACAGATGGTTGCACTGTTAAGGAATCAGCCTCTTTTAAATCAGGAAGTGATGCAATCTAATTGGTTACTTTGAGACATTTCTGAGGGAGATTCTGCCTTTGAGACAGAACTAGAAGGAGTTTGTGATCTTTCTTTGATACTTGAAAATGGTGTTTCTTTTTCCAAGCAGCAGAGAGAACTTGTTTTTCTTTGCAAAGAACATGTACAGATTTTCATTTGCCTTTTTAAATGAATTGTGGAAAATGTATATTTTTAAACCTAACCATCCCCAATACATAATTAGTGTTATTCTTATGGGGTTAAAAAAAACCCTTAAGAGTGAGTTAGGGAAATAGTCAATGGTACTTTTGTACACTCTGTACCTTACTGACACAAGAACTGTTTGGACAATATTTTTCCATTTGATAAAAGGCAATTATCGTTGCATCTTTTGGAGCGCAGCATGTAGTAAAACACCAAACAGTAGGATAAGTGCTTTCTGCTTTGTAAACTTTATTATATTTTTGTGTGTGCTTAGACTACTGGTGGGATTCATTTAGGTATAATCACTGATGTTCCAGGTAAAAGCATTTATTTTGAGTAAAGTATTACAAGACTAAAATAAATCTTTCATCTCTGGCCCAGATTCAGTCCTTATTGATAATTAAGCCATCTGTTATCTGAGTACATACCTTGTCCAGCTGAGCTTTAAAATGGACTAGGGTAGACAGTTAAACTTCACTTACATTCTTACAAGAGATGCATCATTTTATACTCTTCAAGATGCATCTCATTCTCACTGCAGCCTCCCTCATGTCACAAAAGTATGCATACAAAAAGACAACAATGTTTTTCAGGATTGTTATGTTAGTGAAATAAAAGAGGACAAAAACCTTCAGAAATGGCACTTCTCTTCTACCCCACGATAAAGTTTAGGAAGAGAATATATTTTACAGTGCCTCACACAATGAAATCCTGATCTGCAACTGGGGCCCCTTAAATGCTATTGCAGGACATGTAATAAATAGACATAGTAATAGTACAGCATCAATTAATCCTGAGTACAGGTCCACTGAAGTCAGCTAAGCATTCTTGCTATAATTCACATTTTATAATCTGCTAGTAACAAAAAGCATAGAAGCATACTGCCCTCCAGTGGGGCCACATCAGTTTCAGTACTGACCTATTACCATCAACTCTGCAATGCAGTATTTCCTGTATTATCAAGAGGGCTTCCTCCTCTTTTTTTTTTGTGGGCAGCTACATTAATATTATCTCTAGGATCATAACCAGAGTATATTTTATGGAGGTATAAGGCTTTTAAAGTCCGTGTACAGTTTACTGGTAAATGTGGCAGTTTTAGAACATGGTATTTAGCTAAATAAGTATGTACTTGGAAACTCCCAATGGAGGGCATTGTCATTCTTACTCATTTTCAGTACCTTCCATTTGTAAAAGCTGCAGGTGTAAGGGCTTATCTGCAAAAAGGATGTACTGGCATAATTAAAGGGACAAAATCTTTCTTGTGTAAATGTAGTAATATCACTGCAACAGCATTTATACCATTATAGCTTATTCTTGCATGAGAAGGAGACTAAACTGTACGGAGATAAAAGCTCTTTGCAACTGCTTCCAAAGTAGAGGTTATACTGGTATAATTATTTTGGCTTAAAAAATCAACTCCCTAATCAAAAGAGTTATGCTGATTGAAAAACTATGGGTGGACCATCCCTGAGTCTTAAATAGAATGTTTGTAGCCTCCTGACTTTCACTGAGTAGAAAAATCAAGAGATAAGAATTAAACAAAGTTTCCTGAATAAAATCTGGTTTTGATTTTTTTTTCTGTTTTTTAAAATTTCCAACAGGTTTGTCTCAGCATTTAGTTACAGACTACAAACAAGTTGTAGGACTTCTGGAAGAAGGAATAGCTAAGAGGTATTTAAAAATAAAAATAAACTCTGTTTCTCCTATTTTTCCCAATGTTGATGGTACAATTATTGGTTTCTCTGACACAGTTGAAAATGTTTTCTTAAATTTAATCAGAAATGAAGAATAATTTATCTAAGAGAGGACTTCAAGTCTCCCAAACACTGTATGGTAAATACTGCATAGCATCGTATAGCCCTAAATAGTGGTTACAGAGGCCCACAGAAAAGATATTTGCATTGCAACAAAACTGATTGTATCCTGAGGTTTTAGACACATGTACATTTGAAGCCGTTTCCAAAAGGGAACATTTCAAAAGGGCAGCAGCTTAAAAAAATGTGTTGGGTTAAGTTCTTCAGGGGACATATTTTGACAGGGGCCTCTTAGATTATGATAATGTGCACAGATCAGTCATTAAGGCATCTGTCTGTCTGATACAGGAGTAAATGTTGGAGTTTATGTATATGGCAGCCCCATTCCTGACTAGCATACCAGAGATTTCTAGTCTTTGGTGCCCTATTCTGCAGCTGGGAGCTGTAACAATTCATAACCTCTCGGGACTGGCACAAAGAAGAACTTGAAACGCTTGTGCAACAGTGCATAACCTCCACAAGAAATAGACATAAAAGCTAGAGACAGGCATTACACACAAACCAGTTTAATGATCAGAAACTGGTTTAAACTTATAACAGAATAGATGTTCTGTGCACATAATCCAGTTTCAAAATGGCTGAAACCGGTTTGAGATAAACCTGGTTGAATGTAGTATCAGACTTAATTGATTTGGGTCAAATCGGTTTAAGCAATATGTCCCAGACCCCTTGCTGGTTTAAGATAAACCAGACTCCCCCAGCATCTCGGCATGCTCTCTGGGCTGGGCTCTTTGCTCCATAGTAGAGCTAGCCCCTCCCACCTGCTCCCTGGCTGGAGCCCTGGTAGAGGCTGCAGGCACAACAGGGTCTGCCTGGCTTCCCCTGCCCTACCCACCACCTCGCTGCTTGCTGCTTAAGCAGGAATCCACCCCCCTTCCTTCCTCCCTCCCATCTCCCACAGCACAGATCCCAGCCCCACAGACCCTAGGCATGTGGTATGCTAGCTAATGCCAAGAGGTGTCTGTGTGTGTGTCTCCCCAGTTTCACTGGGACAGGCAGACTGAACAGTGACCACTTAGGAGCTAATCAACAGGTTAGCTGGTAAGCTGTGTAAGAAGAGTTTCAACTAATGGAGAGAGGCTATTCTTTGGTGATGGGATTATAAACACTATTATCATCCCCCTGTTGGCTTGCTTGCCTGTCAATTTGCTGCAGACAGTATAGAGAAGCAGGGAGAGAGATTGAAAAGCTCCATATCATCAGCAGATGCATGCACTGCACACCCCTACCTTGCCTCAGAGTGCTAGCAGGGGCTGGGGTCTGGCTACACTCCCATCCCTTGAGCAGCCAGTGGGGAAAAACCTGGGACATTGCAGGCAGACCTCCCTACTCAGAGCTTCTGCTGAGGCATGGCCACATACCCCGCTTCAGCTCAGCACTGTAGAAGGGAAGGGAGGGCTGCTCTAGAGCCCCCTGGCTTTTAGCCTGGGGCACTGCAAGCATGTGCCTGAATTTCCTCAGTCCAGGGAGAATGTCTGTCCAGTTACAAACCAGTTCAGCTTAGTCAGGTTACACTAACCTGTAAAGGTTGAATCAATTCAGGCTTAGGCATTTTGAATGTCTGTCCCTAGCCAAAAGCACAGGTCTGAACAAAAGTTAATTTGCAAAACTCTAGGGGCATAAAAATGTGTTATTCGTTCCCAATACTTTCTGAAATTTTGGCTAAAATATTTTTATCAATTTAAGGTGTAATGTTGCCTTCATGCAGACCAGCTCTAGCCATTTAAGTTCCATTTTGAAAGTTTAGTTCAGAGTTCAGTAAATCCTAAGTCTTATGTGGGTACCATGTACTTCACCTAGGATTCATAGAATGAAGATGAGAATCATTGATCTTTTCTCCCTATACACGGTTTTAATTTTTGGAAGAGGTGCAGCAGAAAGTGATGATTAATATTCCCACTTTATCTTTGTACAGCCAATGCATCATTAAAGCTAAATGGGCCTGGATCCAACCAAAGGGCCACCACCCAGCATAAAGTTACCAGTGACTCACGTACATTTCCTGTCTGATTCTAATGCATACATTTTCTTTTTTGTATTTCATAAATACCCACTAGCTGCTAGTAAACAAACAATTTTATGACAAATATATTTTACAAACATTTAACAAATGTTATGCAACATATAGTGCACAGGTACTATAAGATGGCTTTAAGAAAGTCGCACCGTAGCCAGACCAGTAACCCTGAGAGAGAAGGAGAGAGAGTTGTTGTTAGTCAGTGATTTCTGTTTCTATTGGCAGCCTTGGGTACCCTCACAACAGGGGAAAGGAAGGTAAATGGAAAGGAGAAGCCTGAAGATGCTGATCACGGTTTCAGTATTGATGTAAATTTAAACTGTTACCATTGAGGGAGAAAAGGGAGGTAAAATACCAAGGACACTGGACACATTTTATGCAATGTGTGTATAACAAACAAACTAAAGAAAAGCTGCATCAACACTGAGGCAAGTTATATGCAGTGCATTTTAGTTTTACCACTCAGCACTTGTGATCATTCGATATAATTTCATAATCAAACTACTAAATAGTTCAGTAACAAAATGTTATTTTATATACTAAACTGTTGTATTAATGATTTGAATACAAGGAATAGAAAGCTTACTGACAAGTTTTGGAAGAGCTTGCAGATGTTCTCAAGGACAGAATTAGAATTCAAAAAGATCTTAATAAATTATAGAACTGGATGATTGGCAACAGAATTCAATTAAAAAAGAAACAGGTATTAGGTGCTACAGTTTGAGAAGCAAAACTGAATGCACAAATACAGAAAGAGAAATAATTATATAGGTAGTAGTACTGTCAAGAAGGTTCTGGGGGTTATGGTGCATGACAGACTCTACCTGAGTTGTCAGTGTTATGTTGCCAAAAAAGGAAATGCACATTTGAACTCCATTCAACAAAATTTTTGTGTAGAAGACTTGGGAAGTAATAATACCACTCTACATAACACTGCTTAGGCTCAGCTATAGTATCCTGTCCGGTGCTGGGCACTGCATTTTAGGATAGCCGCAGAGTCACTGCAGAAAATCTACAGGTAAGTAACAGAGACAATAAAGGCTTGGTATGCAAGCTGATGAGGAAAGGTTGAGAGAACTAAATATACTTAGTCTGGAGAAAAGTAAATTAAGCAGGGGAAATTATAGCAATTTTTTTAATTATTGAAATGTTGATGTGGAAGCTGGTTTGTAAGAAAAGTGCATCTTGCATTACTGTTGGGGGTTGGACTGGATGTATATTGAAAGTCCCTTTCCCAATGGTTCTGTAGTTTTGTGTTTCTGCAATTAGAGTATGTGCTCACCACCACTGAAATACAAATAAAAGTTGTAGAAAAAATGTAGGAGCTGGTACCTTGCTCATTGTGTCTTGTACAAACCACAGCATTAATTTGTATTGTGCACAAAAGTAGGTTGTTTAATCGATTTCTAGATAAATATTTGACATCAAATCATTAACAAGTCATTATTTTCATAAACTATTCTACAGAACATTTAATATTATAAATATTATTAAGTATGTTCAAAGGAGTTACAATTGTTAGTTCTAAAATTTAATTATACAATTTGTACTATATAATTGTTTCTTGTTTTAGTTGCTAACATGTTTATTATGTACCACGTGCTAAATTTGGTCTGTGATATTTGTATAAAAACCACAACTTACAAACTTCCAAAAACACGGTGTTCCCACCAAGAAAAACAAAGCAAACAAAAACCTAAATAATGACAGTAGGACATTAAAAAATAATAAAGAGCATTCTATGTGCCTTATGCAAATAATCTAGCATGAACATCCTCCCACAAAAATTCACACACACAATAAGAGTTGCCAAGACAATGTCTCCTTCCCCTCCAGTACTGCCTTGTGTTGTAGGAGACGTATTAGAAACCTGTACTGCCCTTTTCCCTCTTCCTCTTTTGCCTGCCATGCCAACACCTTGAGGTACTTTCCCTCTTTTCTTTTGTCCCCATGGCTAGGGACAGACATTACACACAAACCAGTTTAAGTGATCAGAAATTGGTTTAAACCTGTAACAGAACAGATATTCAGCATACATAAACCAGTTTGAAAATGGCTTAAACCAATTTGAGATAAACCTGGTTGAATGTAGTATCAGAATTAACTGATTTGGGTCAAACTGGTTTATGCAATATCTGTCCCGGACCCCTTTGTGGTTTAACTTAAACCAGAGTCCCCCAGCATCCTAGATGCTTTGCAACCCTGGGTGGGGGGGCTCTGCTCTCTGTTCCAGGCCAGCAGGGCTGGCCCTGCCCCTCTGCTCCCTCACTGGAGCTCCAGCTGAGACTGCAGCCACAGCAGGGTCTGCCTGGCTTCCTCCTGCTCGCCCCACCCCACCACCACAGACCACATGCTGGCTATGGTCTGTGCTGTGGGAGACAGCACAAAGGCAGACAGAACAGTATCAGCTTAGGGCTTTTTGGAGCTAATCAACAGGTCGCTGGTAATGTCCCTCTGTTCCTTCCTTGAAAAAAGTTGTTTAAGAAGAGTTTGAACTAATGAGAGAGGCTTTGTTATGTTTGATGGGCTGATAAATAAACAACTCCCTGTGTAACACCCTGCTGTGTAACTAGAGGCATGTGTAGACGAAATAGGGGCCCTAAATTAAAGCAGTGGATTTTAGAAAAACACTGCTTCAATTTAGGGCTGATTAAACCACCATGTCATGCACACACCCCGATGACGTGCCTGCCTCTCAGGTGTGGAGGGGAGGGCGAGCTGCCAAAGGGTAGAGCATTCCCTGGGCTGTGGCGGAGGGGGGCTTGTGCTTCCCTCTGCAGCAGCTGCAGCGCCCCCCCAGGCGGCAGTCACCTGCAGGCACCTGGCTTGGGTGGTCCCAGGTGGCACTGCAGCTATGGAGGGAAGCACTGCATCCCCGTGCAGCTCAGGCAGGCTCCAGGGATGGGGAAGGGGGAGATTGGGCTCGCCGCTTTTCTTGGGTGGAGCTGCTTTCCTGGGCTGCTGTCAGGCTGTCTGCAGGGCTTCCTGCAGAGCTGTGGAGCTGCACAGAGCCCAGTGCTTCGCTCTACTGCTGTAGAGGCAGCAAATTAAAACTCCTCAAAGGAGTTTTAGTTTGCTGTTTGCCAAGTCATTTAAGGTGCATTACGCCACCAAATTTCCTACAGCAGCTGGAATTGATGCACATTATGACACCAGGGCATGCAAACAGCAACACCATTAAAGCAGTGCAAAAGCATTTAGCCCGCTTTAAAGTGTCATGCATGCAAACATGCCTCTTGTTTCACCTGCACATGGCCTAGATGCTCTGTTATCAATAGCAAAAGAGGGAACTGCTCCCTAATCAGAGCATCCTGCCAGGTCCTGGCCACGCCCTCCCCTGCAGCACAGCATTGTGGAATGAAAGGGAAGGCTGCTGTAGCATGCCGCCGGCCCCCCAGCTTCTAGCCTGAGCCACTGCAGGCATGTGTCTGCATTTCTTCAGTCCAGAAGGGATGTCTGTACGATTTACAAACTGGTTTAGCCTAGCCAGGTTACACTAACCTGCAAAGATCGAATCAATTCAGGCTCAGGCTTTTTGAATGTCTGTCCTTAGCCAATTTGTAGGGCTCTTCAATCCTTATTTGTGCTTACCCAAGAACCATGAGGACCTTTTTGTCTCTTCTCTTCTTCTGCTTTTAGTTCCTTAATTTTCCTTTCTCCTAACCAGTTGCCATCCTCCTGCAAGATTTGAAGGAGCATTTTCTTCCCGTTTATGTTATTGGTGCACTAGGTCAGTTGTAACTCTTGGCATTGTATGGCCAGGTGGTTTGTGGAGGCTTTTTGCTAGTTGTAAAGGGCAGGAAGCCACAGGCAGACTGCAGTTCCCACAGTCAGTGTGACTTACACTCATCAATTCAATGAAAGCCATGCTGACTCCTATCCAGTGCACTCTTTCTTGTCCATCACTACCATGACCCTCTAGTTGTCAGTGGCACAACAAAAAAAGTGCTATAAGCTTTGATTGCATCACAGAAATTGCCAGTGGCAGTGCCTGTTATGAGCCTCAGGTGTGGCTGAAGTGATGCTCTGGTGTGTTCAGCATTGCCCACATAGCTGTTATCCATTGTCAGCAATGGGAAATTTTTGTATGAAAGACAAGCCCTTAATGTGATGAAGCAGTGGATGTGGGAACTGGCTGATACCCACCTAAAGTAAAATATGACTCTTAGACATGACTGAACAATAAGAAAGACTGAACCAGTCAGTTTGGTACAGAAAAAGGCCCCCTTCTGCTATCTGGCAGTCTGCCAGCACATGGCCTTATGGTTACAAAGGTTGGCATTAACTGGAAAGGAAACTGAAAGCTCTGGACTATGCAAAAAAGCAGCAGCAGTTGGAGCCCCATTTTTTGTTCCACTAAAGCCCTCTCATGCATCCTAGACCTCTTGCAAACTACAGCAATCTTGGGTCATCCGGCTTAGTTATGGATCTTTGGATTCAAAGCCTGAACATGAGTAATGAGGAGAGAACAAATGGACAGAGAAACTCAACTTTATGGTGTATCCATGATGTAAGACTGGGGAGAAGCACATGTAACTGTAATAAATTAATGCATTACATTATTCATCTCAACTTTCTTTGAATATAATGAACTAAATATAGTTTCCTTGCACTTCTGTTTCTGCAACTGAGATAGGTACCCAAACAGGTCCTGAATCAGTGATTTTCTGACCCCCATTCTGTAAGTTGCATCCTGCTCTCTGTTTATGTTTGTTATATTGCTGTGTACCTTTACGATTGCATGTTATGGATAATAAAAACAGTAACATCTTGTCATTGCAATAACACAGTAACTTCTCCAACAACCTTAAAGAGCCTACAGAGATTTTCTTTATTTTTAAACTTTATTCTGTTCCTCCTTTTCCCCTTCTGTTTTCCCTTTCCTTCCTCTTGTGTATCTTCTAAAAGTTCACCACCTACTCCCAGAGTTATGCATACACAAGTCTGAGTAACATTGTTCTATTAGACAGATGCATCCAACAGTTGCATAAAGCTCATACTATCGTGCAGTTTTCTGGCCCTGCCAAAAGGCCAGGATGGGGGCAAAAGCCCTGGCCCCAGAATGTTGAAGGAAAGTTGGGATGTGACATTTTCTTCACTGGTTAAACTTTCAAGCTGTATTTTGCTTTTCTTTAAGACCCCAAATTTTCTTCCTATAACTTTTTAATATGTTTCTAGACTATTCTGAGGACCACCAGAGTTCAAACCTAGCTTTAATTTACTTTTGTCCTCCACATTTGCAGACCCCCATACCAAAGCACAGTTTGGTCAGGTCCAAGAGTTTGGTCTGCTGTTTTTTTTAAATTTGCAGTACTTAAGTTCTAGCCTTCACTAATCAGTTCCATTTCTTATTTGCACTCTTTCTGAATACAGAGACCTAAACTGTCCCAAGTGAACTTATTTTCCTTGCATTTTTGTTTGTAGAATCACAGCAGCTACGCATATTCATGATGCCAGCAGCAGATCCCATGCCATCTTCACTATCCACTACACTCAGGTTAGCTAAAAAATTCCAACTGCCTTATCTTTTCCATTCCAAAAAACAGTGTTCAGCAGACTTGCCCAGTTTTGCAGTCACCATTCTGTGCTACTTTTAGTAATAACAATGGAACCTATTTCCTGCTACCTATTTCCTGTGGATCACATTGCATATTTGTTCCACTTCATATGCCACCTCACATGCTTGTTCCCTAGTGCCAGTTTGTCATTAAGAGATTAAACTAAAGACTCGCTGCTAAAGGAAAATTTTAGGTTGAAAAATGACAATCAAAAAGCAGCACTGTCCCCAAGAGAATTTTTAAAACCTGTGTGTGGAAATGTGTTTTACAGTTTCATAACATTTTGTGACCTATTGTTACTATTTACTGGTTAGGATTGTGAGATCAAGAACAGCGTAAGTTTAATGCCTACTGAAGGATTTTGTTTTTCTGGCATTTCCTAATGTGCTTACCTCCTTAACATCTTGGCACTTATTATGTTGTATCTGGTGTGATACATCATTTCTTTGGGGGGACTATATTCTTCACTGGCAAGAAATGGTCTCAGTGAGCTAGTAGACCTTTTCTATTTCAAGCTTCTGCCATCCTGTAATCTTAGAACGGGAGGATTTTTTTAGCAGTTTCACAAAAGAACCTTGGAATACGCTAGTACAAAGTGACTTTGTGAGGTTTGTGAGAAGCTATTTTCACGCAGTCACTGACAGGGAAGTTTCTTCAAGAAAAATCAGTGTAATAGAAAGTTTTGCATGCAAGTTAAGACAGCTGTTGAATTGATGGGATGCACATACTCTATGGCTTAAGGTCACATAGCAAGTCAGTGGAATTTCCAGAAATACAGTTCCTCAATAAAAAATGTGTAGTCTGTTGTACTAAACTGAATCATATTTTGATACATATTTTTCCCTTCAGGCTATCCTGGAGAATAATCTCCCTTCTGAAATTGCAAGCAAGATCAATTTAGTGGACCTTGCAGGCAGGTAATACTGTACCAGGGGGAACAAGAGCTCTGCTAAAATGTTAGCTGCTGTTTTCCATGCAAAGATGACTGATGATTTTTTTTAAAAGGGAAATTAAATATTAAAAAACCTCATTATAATAATGTTAAATCTGGCTTCTCTGTAGGAAAGGAAAAATGTGAAGCTAAAATTATTGCTCTATCATGTATCTTCCTGTGTTGGGAGTTAGATATTATTAGACCAATATAAGAGCACAAGACTGGAAGGGACCTCTTGGGTCACTGGGTCCAGTCCCCTACTGTTGCAGGCAACCACATCATGTAATTTGTTTCATAGACTTATTGATCTTAGTCTCACAAGTGAGGTTGTTTGACCGCACTATTCCTGTTGAAAGGCTGTTCCAATTATAGGAAAAGATTTACCAAAATTGTATGTGAAAAGGTTGAACCAAGACCATTGTTCTTCCCAGTTATTGCATAGCATGGAAGGGAGAAAAATTGGTAGCTTGGTGCTCAGTGCTAAACAAGGTAGCAGAATGCAATAAGATTAAAAGACTTTGTGTGGTACATTCCCCTATCACTAACCACATTGCCCTGTCATCATCTCAGCTGCTTTCTGCACTTAAATGACTGAGGTCCATGTAGCTCTGGTAGCTGTCGCAAGTTGTTATGAAACAGCTGCTGAGGCAACACTTTCCATTCTCAAATGTGTATCTGACAATGCATAATCATTCATAACATCTGAGGGTGTGCTAGTCTGATGCTCAGACATGGGCTATGCATTTGAATGAAATGATGTTGGTTAGGTCAAATTTTTCCCATAAAATTGAGTGATGTATGACAGTTTTCTTGCCCAGGATCAATCTGATGGTGCTATCTTCTGCAAGGATGTACCCTTAATTTTACATTTTGGTTAGTGAGTACCTAGCAGCAGTTTGTGCCAGTGAACGGGCAATAATAGCATGACCTTCTTTATGATAAAGCACACTGAAAAACTAGCATTACTGCTCCTTTTAAAAATGAGTGACAAAATATAAAACATTCAAATCACATTTTATTTTCTTAAAAACCTAAAATTCCTCTATTCTTGTGTCTCAGGACAATTCTGCATTGTTCAGACTCTCTCACATCAGGCATTTTTTTAAAAACTGAGTATTTTCATACGGTATTGCATATGTGTTTCTGTGTTATTTCCTGTGATGTGTTTTAGTGAAAGAGCTGATCCCAGTTACTGTAAAGATCGGATTACAGAAGGTGCCAACATTAACAAGTCATTGGTTACTCTTGGAATTGTCATCTCCACCTTAGGTATGTGTAATAATATTGTTACTTTAAGAGGCAGCAGCGCATAAATTCCCATCATTGGAGAGACTGTATTTAAAGTATGTCTAGAGTTAGAATGAGGAGTTGAAAAGAGCTCCTTCAGCTAAGGAACTGATAATGTTTTTGACCTGTTGGTATTAGAGGGCAGCTAGCGCAATGGTGTAAAGTGCAAAATTAAAATTGCCTTTGTTACCTCAGTCAGTTAGGATACAGAAGTGAGAGAATAAGGATACACCAACCAGAGAAGACAAGAGATTCCTCTCTGAGCCCATTGAAGATAACCCCTTTCACATGCTGTCTGTTGTATGTTTGTTTTCTAGCACAGAATTCGCAGATGTTCAGTAGCTGCCAGAGTATAAACAGCATAACCAGTGAAGGGGACAGCAGCCCCATGGGTAGTCACACTACAGGCAGCGTCAGTGGAACCAGGAGGCAGGCTTACATTCCATACCGCGACTCCATCCTCACCTGGCTTCTGAAGGACAGCCTGGGGGGTAACTCCAAGACTATCATGGTTGCCAGTGAGTTCATGTTTCTGTTGGCTTTACATCTGGTGATCTGCATTGTACAGAAAATTACCTCACTTCTGTGGTATGAAATATAAAAGATATATTTTAAAATAAATTTACTGTTTTTATTTTTTTTAAGGAATCTCTTTAAATCAGTGTTTGTTCTTCATCTATAGCTATCTCTCCTGCCAGCTCCAGCTACAATGAGACCATGAGTACCTTGAGATATGCCTCAAATGCCAAAAACATTATTAACAAGCCCCGAGTCAATGAGGTGAGACCCCCCCACTTATATTTTTTGCATGTATTTTGATTTTATTGAATGTACTCAACAGTCACATTCTAAGCATATATTATATACATAACTGTGAATAAGGTCAGCGTGAACTGGACTCATTTTTGATTCTTATATCTTAAAGAAATCTTCTGTCCCTGATTCTGTGCAGCTTTTAACTTGCTGGTACAGCGTTTTTTTCTGTATCCTTGTAATGTTAAGACTGCATAATAAACTCTGTGCCTGAGGGGCCTTATTAAAGGGGGAAGGGGGTTATGTAACCTGACATTTTAACTTTTGAGCTTTTGACTTCGCAACCTTAATGTTCTTTCTAATTGATACATGAACTTCAGTACCGTTCCAGGCTCTGAGGAGAATATACTGCAGTGGGAATGTGCTGTAATGTCTGTGTTTTTCCTGGGTTTATCTCTTCCCTGCCTCTAGGCTTCTCATCCCTGTCCCATTCTACCTGCCAACCCAGTCTCAGTCTCCCCACCTCAGGACTCTCATCCTTGTCTCCCCTTCCAATTTACTTATCTAATCTGCTTCTTTCCCTCTTCTCCCATTGTCTCCCAGTCCTTACAAGCTCCTTATCTCATCTCAGTCATACCCCCATTACTGCCTTCTTTTCCTAGTCCTTTTGCAAAATTAGTGCTAGTCCTTCTCCTGCGTCCCAGATCCTTTTCAGATCCATTTCCCATCCTCCATCTGTTACCTCTCCATTATTTCGTAGTCCCCATCTTTACTTCCATTTCCTACTTCCTCCAGTCACCACCAGGCCCACTCTTATTCAGCATCGTTTCCTAATCTACTTGATTTCCTCCACTAACCTAGTTCTTATTCCCTCTCATTTGAATGACATGGTTTCTGCTTTCACATTGTTTGACCTAATCAGAGAAACAGGCTCCAAATGGTCATTTTCAGAACTGGGTATAACCCTTCCCAACAGCAGCTGGGAGCAGCAATTGCAGGGAAAGTTTGACTTTGCCTCCCTAGCTCTGGGCTGGAGCATGTTCAGTCATTTCATAGAGATGGCACATGCACGGTGTGGTCAACATTAATTCTTGAAAGAGTCAGAGAGGACAGAATTTTCAGATTTTAGTTGATGAAACTGAGGAAGTTTCTGTTTGGTATGTGCAGACTATCATCTTTCAGAGGCTTGTAACTTGACTATTGTTAGGCAGATTTTCTGAAGACAGCAAATAACTTCTCCCTAGTACATCAGTCACTCCTGTCAAATTTCTAGTCTTTGGTCCTCAGCAGGGCAGTGATAGAGTTTCAAAGAAACATCTTCAATGTCTAATATGGGCAAAATATGTATTTTTTTTTAACCTTGGTCCTAGAAAGGACCGTACCTTTTTATTGAAATGCCTCTTTCCCCACCTCCCCCTCCCAACCCCCTCCCCAAAAATCAATCTCAGGTAATTGCCCACCATGGAAAATTTGAGCCTAAATGATTAAAGTTTGTTAAAGTTTTATAAGCTCCTGGAAAGAAGGTCTTATAATGAAAAATACTGGTCAGCATTAATGATAGGCTATCAGTGCTTGGATCCATGCTTCAGTGTTGCACAGTCTACATTCTGCAGTTCTCGGTGCTAGGGTTACCATACGGCTGGGTTTTCCTGGACATGTCCTCTTTTTTGGTCCCCTGTGCTGCATATGGCCGGGTTTTTTAAATAAGAGCGAAGTCTCTGGGTTTTTTGCTGTTCTTCCTCATTCCAAAGCTGGCTGCTTGGGGCTGGGAGTAGCAGACAAGGTGATTTGCTGCTGGGGGTCATGTGCTCTCTGCCTGGGCCAGAGAGAGAGAATGTGTGTATGT